CGCCGTGCCCCGCCGTGCCCCGCTACAGCCGGAGCAGGAAATAGACCTCGGGCTGCTCGGGGCCGCCGGGCGGCAGCGGCAGCTCCGCGCAGCCGAGCCCGGCGCAGGCTCCCTCGGGCACGCCGCGGCGCTCGGCGGGGCCGCCGTGCAGGCAGCGCAGGTAGGAGCCGATGCAGGAGCCGGTGGAGTGCCGGTTGGCGGCGAGCGGCGGCGCCCCGGCCCGGCTCCGCAGCAGCACGGCGGGCGCGGCCCCGCCGCCGCTCGCTCTGTGCCGGCCCGCCGCCTCCTGCCGCTCCCGGGCGCGGCTGGCGATGTTCCGCACCCGGCTCTGGCTGCGCGACGACAGCTTCCTGACCAGCGCCCGCGGGCACGGCTCGTCCGCCTGCTGCCGGGGGCACAGGCTGTCCTCCTGCCCCGGCTGCCGGGGGCACAGGCTGTGCTCCTGCCCCGGCTGCTGCCAGGGGCACAGCAGCTCCCGGCTCTCCTCCTGCCCCGGCTGCTGCCGGGGGCACAGGCTGTCCTCCTGCCCCGGCTGCTGCCGGGGGCACAGCAGCTCCCGGCTCTCCTCCTGCCCCGGCTGCCAGGGGCACAGCAGCTCCCGGCTGTGCTCCTGCCCCGGCTGCCGGGGGCACAGGCTCTCCTCCTGCCCTGGCTGCTGCCAGGGGCACAGCAGCTCCCGGCTCTCCTCCTGCTCCAGGGCCAGCAGCCTCCGCAGCTGCTCCGTCAGCGCGTCCGTGGAGTGCGGTCTCACGCCCCGCGTGGCAGCCGCCTTCCTGTCCCTCAAGCCCGAAGAGATGAAGCTCCTGCTGATGTACTGGTACTTGCTCTCAAAGTTGCAGGAAATGTCCTCCGAGGTCAGGTCTCCCAGGCTCTTGGACTTGCAGGGGCTGCTCTGCTGGATGGCCGGGTGCGGGGGGAACGGCAGAGCCCCCGGGAGCAGGGGGCAGGCTGGGCTGGCCTGGGGGACACGCACCGCAGCCTTGTGCTTGCCCGAGGGCTGCTGCCACGACGCCCCGGCGCTGTCACACGCGGGGAAAGCCAGCTGGGATCCTGCAGCCCCGAAGGGCTGGGAGCAGTGCCGGGCAGCGGCACAGAGCGCGGCGGTGGGGCCGCTGCCTGCGGTCCTGCCAGCCCCGTGCCCCGGCTCCCGCCGCTGCCGCAGGCTCACGGGAGAGGCCAGCTGGCTCAGGTCCTCCCGTCGGTACTCCCGGGCCGTTACCAGCAGGTCCTGGCAGTCCCCGTCCACCTCCAGCAGGCTGCTGCTGTCCGAGTGCTCCCCAGGGCCAGGGGCTCCCAGCGCCTCCTCAAAGATCAGGCTGTTGGAACCAAAAGAGCTGGCAGACTCGGGGGCTTCCCAGCTTGGTCCAGATTTTGTAGCACAGTTCCTTTTGGGATTTGCATTTAGCAAAGAGAGGGATGAAGACCAAGAGCCTGGCAAGTTACTCTCTAGATTATTTAATCTTTTCTTGCAAACTAATGCCCTGTGGTTCTTACATTCAGAAGCTGGAGATGCCTGGTGGATAATTGTGTATGTGGAATACTCTGCATCCTCCAGGCTGGAGAGCATGGCTGTGTCCGAAGTGGAGAATAAAGAGGATTTGTTGGATTTTGTGGGAGTGAAGTCGTGCCTACAGGGGCTGCTCAGGTCTGCAGCAAACACGTGTGGGGCTGCAGCCCCTACCCTGGGGGTCTGGCTGCTGCTGCCGTGGGGGCTGGAGACAGGGAGAAGGAGAGTTTGGTCATCTGTGCCATCAAGCTGCCCGATGAGAGTGGACACAGCACTGTCCAGCTCGCTCTCAGTCGAGAGAGAGACTTCATCAATGAGGTGAGAAATGTCACTGTCCTGCAGGGCCATCGTGGAGTGACAGTCAGGGCCCTCAGAGCACACGGCAGAAGAAAGGGAAAGAGGTGCTGCAGTGCTTTTCTGCATGTCATATTTGTGATTCTCCACCTCTGCGTTCTGAGAAAGAGAAGTCCCCATGAGACTGATCTTCCCTTCCTTAGATCCTTTTGTGTCATCTTCCTTTTTACCATCTGCACAGTTTTTGTGGTGCAATTTTTCTGTGGGAAGTTCAGAGTCAGAGTCTTGCATTAGGGGGACAGTTCCATCAGAAAGATTATTCTCCTGGTAATCCACAAGGTGATTTGCTTGAGCTACACCATTTGCAAAAACCAAATGTTCAGGTTGCTCCTGTGGAGGTGGTACTAAACAGTCATCTGTAGAATCCCACTGGTCATTCTCCTTCTTGAGCTGAGATGCTACATTTGAGGCATTTGAGTTTTGCTCAGAAGGTGGAAAATCCAATTCTTTCAAGCTTGTTTCCTTCTCATTTGTATTGTCATCACTGTTGGCTAAATTAAATGAGAAACATGTTAGTGGCATACAAGACTCTGGTCTGTCTACCAACAGCAATTTTGTCCTTAGACAGACAAATGGAGAACGCAAAACTAGGCAGTTGTGACAGAACTTAATCATGGAGTTATGCAGATTTAGTACAGATTATCTGAGTGACATGAATAAATGGAAAAATACAACTGCAGGCACTTCATTGAAATTTCCTTGGAATGTCTATTACATCAAGCAGGTGATGTAATATTTGTTGTAAGTAATGTTAATGAGGTACCACATCATAGCTTGCACGTGGCATTACCTTCAGCTGTGTTCCTAGTCACATTTGTACTATAAAGAAGCGTGGCAATAAAGACAGAACAAAACAGCTCTGTTAAAACACACAACACTTGAAAACAAGATGCATGCTTCAAGCTGAGTCAAAAGCATCAAGTAGATGGACTCCAGACTGGTTTATACATGTGGTTACTGCAAAGTGTTACAGTACAAGGATTTCACTTGGATCTACCAGCAAGCAGCATTCACAAGGGCAATGGTCTGAATTCCTCAAAAACACATATTGGATGTTTTTTCCACAAATCCTCTTGTCTTTCTATGCCAGATTTGAGCTCTGTGATTCACTTCTTTAGAGATTTAATGAAGCAGGGACTATAGAAGCAAACTTGGTGTAATAGATTCTGGTTTTAACACTTGCTAGAAATCAGGTACTCTTGGAAAAAGCAAGGGGAGCCCTGACCATTCACGAAAAGTAATTTTGGAGGCATCTTACCAGATGTGCTTTCCTCTCCCTTGGCCTCCTGGGCAGTGTCCTCTGCTGGGCAGGGCAGCTCTACCAAGAGGAATCTGTCCACAGGCATGGACACGGGACGCGCCTGCGAGCTGCGGTTGGGCCGCCGGACCACGCCTTCCTTGTCCTTCAGGTCAGTTGGCTCAGAGGCACTGTCCTTGATGTCAGCAGCCTCCAGGAAGCCCATCTTGCTCTTCTTCCTGCCCTTGGCCGGGGCGCTGGCCGTGCGCCGCAGGATGCGCTCGCCGATGGAGCGTTTGCGCACCTGGTGCCCGCTGGCCTCGGCGGTGCCCGCCTTGGGCGCCTTGGAGAACAGCCCTCGGAGCCCCATCAGCTGCTTGCCCTGCAGGGACAGCAACACCACAGCCTGGCCTGAGCCCACGCTCGCTCACGAGGCACACAGCTGCTCTCACAGTGCTCATGAGTGATGACGACAAAGTTCAGAACGCAGCAAAGCAAAAACTCACACCAAGCCACTCACAGCTGCTCTGAGCCAGGAGCTCCCAGCACAGTCTCCAGGGATGCATGCATGCCTGCCTTTCTCCTCGTTAGCAGGGCAGCCTGCCGCAGTTAGCAGAGAGCTTGGCTCAGGCTCCTAAGGGGACCTGACGAGGCTCTAGGAGGTGCTCGGCAGTGACAGGCTGCACCTTAACATGGAGTTTCTATGCATGGGTTTCATCAAAGCAATATTCAGATGTTTCAGAGCCTGCATGGAGGATGGTTCTGGTTTGGCAGTTGCAGATCATGCGATTGGGAACCACTGGAAAGTCTGTGCCCAGCAAGTGCAAAGTGCATGCTCATGAGCTCTACCTTTGTGGCTCCTAGAAAGTGCATTATTGTGTAACTGGGATTGAGGATTAAAGGGCTCCACTGAAAGGCAAAAAGAAATGCAAATCCATTTGGCTAATGTTTTCAAGACTGCCACACAAGCAAATAAGGTAACAGTACATCAGCTGTAAATAGACCCACTCTACAGCAAACCATTTAAAGCTATTTCTTAGTGTAATATGTGTCCCCCAGGAACTGAGCAGATCTCCTCACTCACAGATGCAAACTCAGCCTATGAGAAACAGCAGCATAGCCCATGATTCATTCAGAGCAGCATCAGGGGAACAGACCCAGGGACAGAGATGGAATCCCAGTGGGTGTCCCCTCCTGCTCCTCTTGCCTCCCCTCTGGAGTTACACTGCTGGTTTTCTTAAGCACATTTGTTCTTACAAGGGCAGCAGCCAAACAGGCCCCTGCAAACCGTCCCCAAGGGATGTGATCTCCCAGATGTGCCCAGATGTGCACATACCAATAGATGTGATCCCATCCCATGATCCGATGGGATCAAGGAGGGGAAAGGAAGTGGAGCTGGGAGAGGATCTGGACAAGAGCAAACCTCAGCCCTGGGCCCTTCTCTCTGCTGTTCTCTGTCTGTTCCCCAGAGGTTTCTGTGGGCACTGCACAATTTTGGGTTCATGTTTGTCATGACATTCTCTGCATCCTCTCAGAAGGCACAAAGACTGAAGGCTGAGTGTCCTCTGCAACCTCAAACCTCACAAAGGTCAGGGTTTTGTGTTTATCTTTGCTTCTTAAATCACTGCTAAGGTGCCATTTTACTTTAGCATTCTGCTGAACATGGCCTTAATTTCTTTGTGCTGCTTATCTCCAGATGGAAACAGCTAAGGCAGGGCAGCTGAAAACACAGAAAAAGCACTGTGCTTTCAGTTTCACTTTAAAGGCACTAAAATTGGCAAACTTGCAGAAAAACAAAATCTATGCACTAAAACGTAAAATTAGGTTAATTTAAATTAATTAAATTAGCTGCTAAAAACAGCTTGTCAAATATCATGTTCTGGTGCAGCTACAGTTCTGAAGAACTACTTCCAAAATAAGATTAGTTTAGCAGTTTAGCACACAGAAGAAATGTACCTCCTGTACCTAGACAAGATAATTGTCAGGTGCTAACAGCAAGCACATCTGCAAGTATGTGCACAGCAAGAGTGGAGTCATGGTATGGTGAAGTTTCCTTGCTGATCTCCTGCATGGAAACCCTCCACACACTTTGAGCCTCCTGAGCACTCCAACACAAATCCTGGAAGGTTCTGGTGTACATTTAAATCCATTTTTATCAGAAGGAAGATGTAAATTTCCAGCTGTACCTACCTTTCCATAGGTCTCATTAATGATTATATGAACAAAAATGGAAGCTTCTGTCAGTCCTTCTAAATACACGTGGCGATAGCCTGGGGAAACAGAAGCAGAAATATTTCCACACAAACCTCCACCAAGAACCAGCAGTTTGCATTTTATGCCCAGCTAGCAATGACTGTCTGTAAAAGTGATGTGTACACAGGAAGCCACCTGGTGCCTTTAGTAAACTTCTCTGGTGTCCCCACAGGTTTTCCGAGCCCCAGTACCAATTGCATCCAAGTTATCAAAACATACCAGCAGTGATTTCCAAAAGCACAGACAACCAAACTCCTTTGAGGAATGGTGCATAAAGCACCCTAAGAGAACAGAAGATTTGTCCAAGCTTCACATGAAGTCACAAAGATTTATAAAATCTAGATTTGTCCAAGCTTCACATGAAGTCACAGAGACAAAGATTTATAAAATCTAGATTTGTCCAAGCTTCACATGATGTCACAAAAATTTATAAAATCTGTAATCTCATGCTGGTAACGTTCTCCTTGAGCTTGAAGGTGGATTTGCACCAGGAGAACAGAGGGACTCACCAGGCACGAGGCTGCTGAAGGCCACAGTTCTCTGCCCCACGAAGTCTCTCCCGATGGGATCGTGGTCCCAGACGAGGAACCGCACCAGGGCAATTTCGGGCATGTGGATGGTGAAGGTGAGGGTCTCCTCCCACACAGGATTGAAGCCTGCAGGACAAGCAGGACACACTCTGGGAAACAGGTCCATAGCGAGTGCTTGCCTCAGCTCCAGGAGACACAGGACACCAGCAGCAGCAGCAAGGACAATTCCATCATGTCAGTCATTAGATGTGGCAGATCTGCTCTGGGATTGCTTTAAAAGCAAAATGAGTCTGCCTGGGAGCTGGCAGGATACCCAGGCAAGCCCTGAGATAGATGCAGATAGATTTGAACTTCTGCATAAAGGAGATTAAAGAATAATTCAGTTAAAAGACAATGTGGGGAACAACTCTTGCCCTTCACCTCTAACTTGTTTATCTCCACACCAGAAATTCTGTCTGGGAAGCAGAAATCATTTGTTAAAATACAATAATTTGATTTCATCAGATAAGATGCTTTGCAATTTAGAAAGCAATAACAGACACTGATTCATTTATACTTATTTAATATTTTACTCTAAGAAGAAGAAATCACTTAGATTATCTTACCATTGTCATCCACCACCCTGGTCTGATCTTTACAGCAGTCAACAGGCAACCCAATAATCTCCACCTCAACAAATGGATCAATTATCTGTTTTTCAAAAACACAATATTTTAAAAGCAAGCCAGTCATACAAATGAAGGTGAATTTTTTAAAAATTAATGGAGAGAGTTGATTTAAATTCACATGAGAATTCAAACCCCTTTGATTGACATGAATTTTCAAGCAGCACTATCATGGGAATTGGCTCCATGAAGCCCATGTTGATGTACAGTTTGCATCAAGAGCTATGGACAGCTGTGACTAATTTTCATAGAAGTCACCCTTTAAAATACAAATCAAATCTCCTCATAAACACCACGAGTCGGATACAGGCTGGGGGAAGTGTAGTATGTAGTGACCAAAAGCTTGACAATATCTGAAATTTACTGGTGTGTTTGAATGAGGAGAAGGCTTGTGTCACACTGCCATGTCACTGCAGAGCTCCCCTGGGACCAAAGCACCTCACCTCTCCTCTGTCCCCCAGCATTGAGTCAGGAGGCTTGGGCAGCTGCTGCCCACTGATGATCTTCAGAATAAGCTGCTTCTTAGGGCTGGCAGGAAGTGGATCAGCAGAGTAGGGGTTGAATGTGCCTGAGAGATGGCAAGAATGGAAAAAGATACACATAACAAATAGTACCCCCCAAGACTCACACGGACAGACAAATTCAGTCAGAAATTAAAAACTATGAGCATGGAGCAGCTGTTTAGTAATTCTAAAATTCTCCTCCTATTTCTTACAACCTTTTCTGAGTGGAGAAGCTCTTGGTTATGTGATTCCAAGGCAGAACTGTCCATGCCATGGATACTTGCTCCTGGGCCACTGCAGAGCTTGTTCTACTTTCCTGCAGCTGGTCATCCTAGGACCCCATTTTCTTCATTTAAACTCATGTTTATAAGGCAAAGACCTCAAAATATACATATATATATGAGCACAGTAAGAGATTGCACACTGGTGCAAGTCTAAGAGCTATGAGTGCATGGAAATATGAAAGATTCTAGAATTATTTACACTTTTCTTTCTTATGCCTTCTCTGTGAAGGACACTTTGTGAAAGGCCTGGCAGCTACAGTGATAACTACACTGGCACCTTACCTTTGCACATCTGCTGAGGTTTGAGGACATAACCACAGTTGCCATTTACCCTGAATTTTGCTTCATTTAACTGCATCACGCGTCCCTCAGACTGGTAGTTTAGAGCCACTGAAAGAGAGAAGCCAGGTGCCATTAATAAACATGATGTTACTAGGCACATACACACCAAAAGGGAAGGAAGCCTCTCGTGCAGCTCCTACCTAGCTGGCAGCCCACATTCCAGTAGGGAACAGGGTTGAAGTTGCTGGAGTCGATCCGGTAGGCTGAGGGGTAGACCCTGGTCAGCTGCCTCTGGTTGTAAAGCATGAACTGCTCAGCCTTCTGCTGCACTGCCTGGTGGGCTCTGGTCTCACTGAAGGACAGCACGTTCCCTGTGGAGCCTGTGTGCCACGGCACAACCAACAGACGGGTGACAAACAGCCCCGGGCACGGGGCCTGAGCCCAGCCCCGTTCCCTGGGTGTTACCAAGGGCAGCGTGGGATTGAGTCTGGTGTTCCAGGACAGAACACAAACCAGATCTTACACAAACCATGCACCCTGAGGAACTGAAGGGCAGCAGCTCCCCCTTCCAGGAGGCTCTGCTGTTCTCCCCTCAGGTCTGCAGGCTTGAAAGGAAAGCCAAGCGAGAGCTCCAGCTCAAGAGCTCCTGCTGGGACCTTTCCTCCTGCAGACCCCCAGCTCTGGGGAGCCTGCAGCAAAATCCTCTGCTGGCAGCAGGGGCAGAGGAGTCACTGCCAGGCAGGGAGTGCCCTGCTGGGCTCTGGCTTTGCCCCAACAGCAGCACTCAGCCCCCTCCTCTCATGGGTAACAGGGGACGTGCCAGCCCTGTGCCAGCCCAACAGCAGCACTCAGCCCCCTCCTCTCATGGGTGACGAGGGACGTGCCAGCCCTGTGCCACCCCAACAGCAGCACTCAGCCCCCTCCTCTCACGGGTGACAAGGGACGTGCCAGCCCTGTGCCAGCCCCGTACCATCATCCACAATGTCCTGGGCTGCCACGGAGTTGGTGTACACCACCAGGTCTGACAGGGCCCGGCACAGCTTCACTGTCTTCCTGCGGCGGGCAAGCCTGCTGGGTTAAAGCAAACACAAACGGGCACTTGCAGCATTGAAGGTGTGCTTCAATCCCCCTTTCTGCTCTTTTCAACAACGAGGAAATGAAGAATTGTGAGCAGGGAGCCCTGTGAGGCAAACTTCCTTGGAAAGGGTTCTAGGATGACTGCTCCTCTCTACCTCCACAGCCCATCCACACAAACAAAATTTTTCATTTAAAACATAATGAAATGGCTGCACCACAGCTGTTCCAGACAAAACCAAGGAGCATTTCAGTGAGAGCAGACACTCTCTCAGTGGCACTTTTTTGATTGCTTTTTTTCCCATTCTCAGATGCAATAAAGTTGCCTGGGCTGTGATGCACCTTCTTTAACATGCATTTTGCTCTGTTTGCAGCGGGTGAGATAGGGCCCGGCATCTTTCCATGAGCAGTGGCACTGTCACACTGCTCTGCAGCTAATTGCTGCTTGCAGCCTGTGACAGGTGACACAGCCCAAACAGTGGGCTCACAGCAAGCCCAGCTGAGAGCTGTCAGGTGTGACAGACACACCACAGTGACACACAGACACACACACACCACAGTGACACACAGACACACAGAGACACACCACAGTGACACACAGACACACACACACCACAGTGACACACAGGCACACACGGTGACACACAGACATCACAGTGACACACACACACACGCACAGTGCCACACACAGGGCACCTCTCGGGCACAGCTCCACCCGCCATGGTGGAGCAGCCCTGCCCTCACCTGGGGGGTTCAGCTCACCTGTGGGGCTGGCCCGGCTCCTTGCCCAGCGGGTGCTGCTGGCCATCCTCCTCGTCCGAGGCACTGTGCGCTTTGGCCTTTGCAGCTCTCTGTGGGGACAGAGCCAGGCAGGGTCGGTCACTGGGGGCTCCCGGCCCTGAGCTGGGCTGGGCAGTGCCAGGGATGCCAGTGACCCTGGGCTGGGCTGGCAGGGCTCCTGCTGTGGGGAAGGGACGGCAGCACAGAGCACACTGTGCCCCAC